TGTAACTTCAACAAAGGGTATACAAGCAATATAGTGACTCCGAACTCTCAACACAGTCCTAAAGCATAGAACTCCAGGTAATCCCATGGGACATGCCCACTCCAGAATGTGCAGGTCCAGCGGGTACAACAGGGATGGCACAGCATCAGCAATACACAACGTAGTAATGCACAGTCTATGAATATATACTACCTGAAACAGACAAAACAGTTGCATACACTCCTATGCCACAGCGGTCTGTCCATCCTGCCTGTCACACAGGAACTCACTGGCTGAATTCTCAGCTCAGGGTTTCTTTCTTCTGGATACTGATTGCTTCATCATCTTAAGACCCCTTTTAACTCAAGCACCACACTTTCTCTCAGCTCAGCAGCAAGCTTTGCTTGCTTTGATCTGCATGCTTTCCCGCTTATGTGAACCTTCCCCCACTTCATTCCAATGAAAAGTCCTTCCCTCTCTACCTTGAGGCGCCCTCCCCCACTCCTTTCTTCTCCGAAGAGCCCCCCTGCTCAGAAAGGGATTCTATCTCTTGTTCCATTTGTGTCAGGGAGCTTGCCCTTCAAATCCTTTTTATTTGAGGGACCCTGCTCCATCTGTGTGAGCCCTTCTCCTCACCTCTGAAAGGATCTCATCCTACTTCACTCACTTTTTGGGAAGGGTCCTGCCCCTCCCTTCCCTTCTTCATACCTGGTGACAATGATCCAGCCACCAGCTGGTAGAGGGATCGCGCTGCCTGCCCCAAAGGGCTCCGGCACCTGCGGGGGCAGCGGTTCATGGTTCAGCTGAGTCTGTGGCCAAGCTCCGCCCCCAAGGGAAGGGGGCGGTCTCCGCCCCTCATCTTATGTGGGCTCTGCGTGGGCAGTCAGGAGGGCGTGGCCCACAGGCAGAGTATTTCTGATTCTCTGTTCGGTTGAACACATTCTAGCCCCGTCATCTTAAGTGCCCACCCCCAAATTCCTACAATGGGGCGAGGTGGAGGGGCCGTGCAAAGCCTCCTCACTGCCTTCTCTTCCAACGTCTTCTGGATTTCTGGTAGGGTAGCCAGTTACACACAGATTTTGGGAGAAGAGCTAGATGGGGAATAAGTCGTACTGTCCCTCTTCTGCTGCCTCTCTTCCACCCCCACCCCTCCATATTGCCACAAAGATGCTAAGGGGTAAGAGGACATAGTTGTCATGGCAACTCTCCACACTTCCATACTTCCTGGATCAATGGGAGAAAAAAAACAAGCAAGAGAAAGGAAACACACATCAGCATGTTAGGGTGGCAAAGAGGAGGCAGTAGGGCTGGATACCCTCAGCTACCCCGTCCTGGCTCCAAATCCCTTTTATAACTGTTTTTATCTTTCCATCCTGGTCTAGCAGATTCAAAGACTCCATCACCATTATGCTAGCGGCCAGACAAATGCCTCAAGTAGAAGCTTAATTATCCCTCTCTCTGCCCTAGTTCCTTTCCCAGGCTCATCTCTCTACCAGGTAAGACCTAAAGGCACTCCCTTCCAGGATCTCTGGATGCTTTCAGAGTTCTGGGAAAGCCTACAGAAAAGATAAGTAATCTCATTCCTCCGACGGTATCCTTATTCTTGGAGGTGGAGTTTTGGAAACTCTGCATTTAAGAGGACATCTTAAGCTGTTCATTCTGCCCACTTGATCTGGTGATGGTCTCCCTTTGGAATTAGTTCCATACGCATGGCTTCTCTAAGCCACACGGGGGCGCCCCACTCCCAGCAACAACACCTACAGCCAGAGGGACAGGACTCCCCCAGCTCCTGGTCCCAGAGACAGCACAGGCCTGCCTAGTCAGATCCCAACTCTCTCCAACTTCTATCCCTTCTCTGCTTCTCGCTACTGATTGCAATCTTTTCTCACAGCGTCGACTTGCCACAGGGGCCCAGGAGGGGTAAGATAGGGCTTGGATCTCCAACCCCTCCTTAGAACACTCCTTCCCCACTCCTCCCTTTTCCCCCCACCCTAGCTAAATAAAAGTATTTTCCAGCTCTAGTTGGAGCTTAGGGTGCAAGTAGGAATAGCTGTCAGGGATATCCAGAATGTCTTCAGGGGAGGGTCTCTCCTCTGATGGATCTGGATACTGGGGCTGGAGACTGCCCTCTTATATCAGATCCCAGGAATCCCTCCTGCACAGGGAGGGAAGCAGAGGCCTGAAGCAAGCTTCAGCACCTAGGACAACTCTCCTTCAGATTTCAACAGGCAATTCAGAGAGCTCAGTGCTGTTAACACCATTTAGACTCCTGTTATTAACTAAGCCCTCTTTTGAGAGGAGACTTCCTGGTAGACCTCTAATTCTTCTTCTAATTCTTCTTCTTGAGCTAGGAAGGTGGCTCAGTGGTAGAGCATTTTGCCTTGCATGCTCAAGGCCCTGGGTTTGATTCCTCAGCACCACATAAGCAAAAAGAAAAAAGCTGGAAGTGGCGCTGTGGCTCAAGTGGTAGAGCGCTAGCCTTGAGCTGAAGAGCTGAGGGACAGTGCTCAGGACCAGAGTTCAGGCCCCAAGACCGGACCAAAAAAAAAAAAACAAACAAACAAAAAACAACTAAATCTTCTTCTCAAGTCATATGTGGCGCTATCTACAGCAAGGATGCCAATGATCTGGACGATTATCATAGATGCTTGTCAACATTTGACCTTGGGGCTTACTCAGGCCTCCCACTTCCTTGGCTTTTGTGCTCAAGGCTGACATTCTACCACTTCAGCCACCCCTCCACTTTTGGCTTTTTGCTAATTAATTGGAGAGCAAAAAACTCTCACAGGCTTTTCTGCCTGGACTGGTTTTGAACTGCAGCCCTCAGACCTCAGCCTCCTGAGTAGCTAGACTTATAGGCATTACCTTTAGCACGCAGCCATTTGGCCTTCTTATTAACTTTGGAAGGTTGGAGGCAGGCAGGTAGGAAATAGTATTCCCTACTCTGAAGATAAGAAAAGTGAGACCAAGAAAGCAAAAGTCACATAGTCAGTACACTTCCATTCTGACTGACCTGAGGTGGTACAACTTCAAACAAGTGATTCCTCACTTCCTCCAATCTTTTTTTTTTTTTTTTGTCATGGGGCTTGAACTTGGGGTCTGATTGCTGTCCCTGAGTGCTTTTGTTCAAGGCTAGCACTCTACCACTTTGAGCCAAAGTGTCACTTCCAGTTTTCTGGTGGTTAATTGGAGATAATAGTCTCACAGACTTTCTTGCCCAGGCTGGCTTTGAACTTTGATTCTCAGATCTCAGCCTTCTGGGTAGCTAGGATTACAGGCATGAACCATCAGCACCAGGCTTAACCCAATATTTTGATTCCAATATGGAGGAGATTTCTTTAAAGGGGTATTAGCATTTGGTAGGTATGTCATTAAAGTGGGTATGTTAATAAGGACCCTTTAGCGCTTACTACTCTCAAGGATCCTGAGCTGGGAACAGAGTTCATAGTACAGCCAGGTAGCAAACCCTTGGAGTCCACCCACATCTGAAGCACATCTGGAGCACATCTGGCACTGTCATATATCTGGGGACTGATGAGTGAATTTCTCCCTTTTGGGGGTCTTAGGCAGAACAACTAGGATCTCCCAGGGTTACTGACTTGGGTAGACACTTAAGGCAACACATGCCAATATCCTCCCCCATTCCCAGGTCTCAACAGGACTCCATTTAGGCAAGATAAGGCTCATGATCTTTCTTCACCTTTGTTTCAGCCTCAGGAGAGACAGCTTCCCTCCACCCTCTGAGCTCTCATGAAGGCTGCACAATGTGACACACACACACACACACACACACACACACACACATGTACACAAAGGAACAGTCATCTACACAAAACACGGACAGACCTACTACACCTAGAGGTGTACTGGCTTCACATACCTCCCAAAATAGGAAAGAGGCTGTCTGGGCAGCAGCGTGCTTTGGGGGAGATACAAGGAGAACCTCCCTGCAGTTCCCAGGCTTAGAGCTTCTGTCTCTAGCTCTGGAAGGAGGCAAGTGGATGTGTTTTCTCTGGGGATTGGGCGAAGTTCTGAAAGGGTTTGTGGGAAATAAAGAAACTTCAGTATTTTCCCTAGGGTAGGGGCTGAACCCAGTACTAAACAAAGCTTTTCTACAGGAACCAAATACTGGAACCATGGCACATTTCTAGGAGTATGTCTGAGCTGCTGGATACCTTAGAGCCCCTCTTTGGTTCCACCCTGGCTATTTGAAGAAAACTTGAGGAAGAAGTGAGGTACACTAAAAACCCCCATCTACACCAGGAAATGAGAGAGGTAGCAAGGATAAGAAACATGAAGACTCACAGAGCCTCACTACAGGCGTTACACATAAAAGTATACAACCAACACCAAACGCTAATATAACACACAAGTTCCACAATCACGAAACATAACACAATCCACTCTAGTACCAAGAGGTTCATGGTCATAATCTTATAAAGAGACACATCAACATAAAGTGAAACCCTGATACATTATGGAAATCACACACCACTTCATACTAATTCATACGGGATCACACACTAAAAGCACATAGTTGTGCATACAAGACACACACATGTTCAAAACAGTAAGCACAACCAGGGACCTATACAACCTCACACAACAGCTGATATGATCATACAATCACACTGCCACAGGCAGACACACTCACCCTAGCTGTCACCAAGCCTACAGGCACATGGCAACCAGCTGTGGGAGGCGCACATATACATACACAGACACACATAAAATGACAGGCCCTCACAGCACGTAACACCTCCCACTCCAGACACACTCCTAGCCCTGTGGCATACACTCCCACACCTGCTGGCTCCCTACACCTGCCCCACCTGCTCCCCAAGCCTCCCCTCACCCCCAGGCTTTGAACCTCTGGGTCCTGCTGCTCAATGGGAAGGGTGCCTGGGAATGGGACAAAGTGCGAGTATGGGCCAGGTCAGAGGTTAGAGAGGTGGAAAGGTCTTAAGGTAGGGGAGACAGAATCCACCCACCCTTCTGAGACCCCTGTGTCACCGACTCACCGGTAAGCTGGTCGTAGGAGCCATCCAGATCTCGGGAATCGGACAAACTCTCCTTGCGGCCCTGGCCCCGCATGGCCCCCGGCGCCCCGCTCCCGCTTGGGCCGTGGGAGGGGGCGCCGGGTGGCCTGGATAGGGCGCTCACACGGCGCCCCCTGGCGGCCTAGTGCGCTGCAGGGGCTAGGGGTCGAGCGAGCAGGGTCTGGGGCTCTAGAGACAGACCCCTGTCCTGGGGTCCACCTGCCGGTCCCAGGGCAGGAGCAGGAGGCTCAAACAGCAAGTGAGCACAGAGCCCGAGGCAGAGCTGGGCGCAGAGCTGGAGCTAGAGCCCAACCGCCTCTCTTCCCGCCCCCTCCCCGCGGCTGTCACTGCCGCCTCCCCCCTTTGGCGCTGCCGGGATTGGCTCCCCCTACCCCCGCCCCCCACCCTCTGCAGCTCGGAGGAGGCACCGTGAAAGGGTGAACTGGAAAGTGCTGGGAGCTCTTCAGAAACATCAACCTCTAAACCTGAAACCTTGGGTCTTGGAGGTGGGGGGAAAGGTGGGGAAAGATGGAAAGGCCCCATTGCGAGGAAACCCCGCCCCAATTCTCAAGACCCCCCTCCCGCCGCCATCAGTACGGTCTGGCTGATCCAGAGTCTGAGGTATACTTCTGAGTGCTCCAGTTCTGTCTTGCCCACGTTAGCCCCTATTTTCTCTGTAGTTCCTCTCGCGGTGGTCCCAGCCAATCCCCACTCTGCTTCAAGCTGAATGGGGATTCAGGAAAAAGTCTGCTCAGCCTCCGACACAGGCTCATTGCTCACTCATGGACATTTTTTTTTTTTTCTTCACTCATGTTCCAGCAGGATCCAACTCTCCAGGACCCTTTTTCTGGGTCTCACTCAATTCTAGCCTGCCTTTTTGCTGATCTAATGACTCCCTTGGCCATCTGGGAAGGAAAACAGTGAACCAGGTCAGTTTTTTCCTTCAACTTTATTGCCCTTTTTTCTTTGTCATTTGCCTAGTCCTACAGAATTTTTTAAAAAGCATGTTTAGGAAGCTAAGAGAAGGTTTAAGAAGCCAGTTGAGGATGAGCATGAAATGCTCCTTTTATGAAATCACTTTCCGATTAGCTCTTTTTCTGAGGGAAGGGTTATTAGCTCATCGCTGTGCTCCCATGTGTATTGCCTTTTCTCAGGATGGATGCTTCCCAAGGCTCCTAGCCTTAAAGCCACCAACCTGCCAAAAGGATGGGGGATGATGTCTGGTGGCTCTCCAGGACTGCCCCGCTGAGACTAAATTCAATTACGGTGACTCTAGAACATTTAGTTTCTTCAATTGGATTTAATTTCCAAATACTTGATTCCTTGCAGGAATTGTAGGAATTCCAGCATAAGAGGGGACAGGCAGATATAGGAAGGATTGCCTTTGGGACCAATACCCTGCTGACACTAAAGAAGCCTCCATAGACTTAGCAGAGGCTGGGCATGAACAGAGTGTAAGTAAACACTTTCACACATGCTAGGCAAGTGCTCTACTTGAACCACACACATCCAGACCCCAGGCAGAAGAGCCCTAGCTAGAAGGGACCAGCACCTGGGAGATTATTTTTAGCTCTGTGGAAATGTCTGGGCAAAAGAAGTTTTTAAAAAAGACACTAAAAAGACTTTCACACAAATCAATTTTTTAATCATTTTGATTTGCCTCAAGTTCCAAATCCAACTGCTCTTGACTTTATCACGGAGGAAAACACATTTAAATTCCTTAGGCTAAGCTATCCATCTAGTGATCAGTGATCAGAGATGACCCTGCCTATGTGATTGCCTAAGAATCTACATCAATTCATGGCAGTCTGTTGGTGGGTTCTCTAAAACTAGTTTATTTCTGCTCAACCAGAAGTCTGGTTCCAAGGGAGGGCAAGTATATAAAAGAGATTCAGGCTAAATGGATACCAACTTGAGAGATCCTAGACCTACTCTCACTGTTAGACTTGCTCAGATTTTTTCTGGGCTGCTTTCTCCCTGCCATCCTGCCATCCAAGGGGCTTTAGAGAGTGCTTTAGAAAGGGAGGATCTTAGAGCAGCAGCTATTTGGGGGTAGCTATGGGGAAGGAAAAGCTATAGTGGTCCCATGGAAGCTATCCAAAGGGAAAACGGCAGACCAACTTCCCAAAGTCAGATTTGCCTGAGGCCCTACCCAGAATATGGGTAGGACAAGATAGAGGCCCTTTGTATGGTACTCATTTGGCTTCTTTCAGATAGAGGAGACCCTGCCCCCCAGCAGGTTTTTTTCTCTCCAGGCACCAGACAACAGCAGGAACACGTTTCTCCCCAGAGGAAATTCTTAGGCAGGCTGATGTAAACAAAAGCAGGGTTAAGAGGGTAGAACAGTGGAGGGGGGCTTAGTGGAGGCTCCCAGTGGAGGAGGTGGTTTGGAAGGTGGGGAGGTTGCTGGAAAGGGAACCAGCAAAATAGGCACCTTGAGGGCTCCAGAAAAAAGCTGTCAATGTTTATTTCACCTATACCTTAAGACAGCTTAAAACAAACTAAAAATGAAAGGCTAAGTTGTGAGCCTGTTGTGCTGATAAGCAAAGAGTGACAGTCTTGGTGCCAAAAAGAAAATCCACAAAGTGATGGACAGCAAGAGCACCAGACAGACTCCAATTTCCAACTTCTTGGAGGAGTCAACTTTAAGTTTAGAAAACAGAAAAAAAAAGGTGCCCCATTCCAACCCTACCCTAGGCTAAGGGTGCTAATGACAGGATAGAGAGCATATGTGTGTGGGGGGGGAGGGAGGGCACAGGGGACACAGATTTCAAGCCTAGCTCAGCCCTAGGTCCAGAGGATGCAAGATGTGGCTCAGCTATATATGAGAGTTCATCTGTTTTCAGAGGCCGAGAAAAGCCATTGGCCTTCAAGGTGTTGGCAAAACCTGAGGCTTGCCCTGCCAGCTCCTGAAAATTAAGTCAGAAGCCAAAACTTGTAATCTCAAGTGGAAATGTGAGGTATCCAGGGTGCCTAGCCTGGAAGTCTCACATTCTTGGACACCTCTCCCTTTGCCCACCCATTTCTCCCCAAATAAAATCATCCTTGGCTTGCTCCTGTTGTCCAAGCTCCACTGAAGTGGAGCCTTCACCAAGAGACTGGGTATCTGTGCTGTCTCCAACCACAGAGGTAGCCCCCATGCCCCTTCCAGTCCAGGAGCCTCATAGGTAAGGGCTGTCAGTGGCTCAGGTGAGTGTGGTCTCAGGAGATGGTGGAGAACTCTTTTAGCAGGACCTCTTGGCTGAGTGTGTGGAAGGCAAGGTTCCTCCGGACATTGGTGCTAATGGATCGAACCTGGGAAAGGGTAGAGAGAGGTAGGAGGACACAGGCAGAGAGAAAACAGGAGACAGTTGGTTACACACAGAAGGGCAGTGCCCAAGGCACAGGGCCAAGATGAAGTGTTGCCTGTGTATTGGCAGGGGAAAGAGCTATGAAGAGCACACAGGGCCAAGTTCCCAACTGTGGGAGATTACCATGAGAAATCTAGCTGGCTCTGCAGGGATGGTCATCCATGGAACACAGTTTATGAGAGAGAAGGAGAGGAAAAAAGAATGTGTGCCTGGCCTGAGCCCCTAAGTCCATCAAGCTCTCCTTCAATTTCTGCTTTGCTATATTGGGAAGTAAATGAAATCAGGCAGGAAGAAAAGGAAAGGACAGCATGACAAATAGCAAGCAACAAAAGCTCATGAGCTCCAATTGGACCAGATCCATTTTCTACCCCGTGTTGGAGGTTCAGACAAGGGAAGAACTGAGTAGGACAGTACCCAAGAGCCTCAGAACCTATATCCTCGAATTCTTCTTTCTGACCCTCTTCATCTCTCTCCTCTCTCTCTCTCTCTCCTCTTTCTCTCTCTCTGTCTTCCAGTTCTGGGGCTTGTGAACTCAAGCTCAAGGCCTGGGTGTTATCTCTAAGCTTATTTTTGCTTAAGGCTAGTACTCTACCACTTAAGCCACCGCACCACCTCTGACTTTTTCTGCTTATGTGGTACTAAGGAATCGAACCCAGGGCTTCATACATGCTAGGCAAGCACTTTACCATTGAGCCAGCCCAATTTAATTCTCTCTCTTTTTTTTTTTGGGTCCGGTTGTGGGGCCTGAACTCTGGGCCTGGGCGCTATCCCTCAGCACTTCAGCTCAAGGCTAGCACTCTACCATTTGAGCCACAGCGCCACTTCCAGCTTTTTTCTTTTTGCTTATGTGGTGCTGAGGAATCCAACCCAGGGCCTCAGGCATGCAAGGCAAGCGCTCTACCACTGAGCCACCTTCCCAGCCCATAATTCTCTTTTTAATTGCTGGCTTCCAGTAGTTCTCCCTCCCCAACCCCAACATGTAAAGACTCACTGGACACCTCGTAAAAATACTCTATCTGCTCTCTCTTCATACTAATGACTTCCTTGTTGCCAACTAACTTTCCCCAAAGAAACCCTCAGGGTCAGAGTTGGGCTGTTGATTTAGCAGAAAACAATCTAAACGTCATCCCCTTCACCACAGACTTGACAAGGGGAAGTTAAAACCAAGCTGATGCAAGTTCTGCCCCAAGAGCAGAAGGTCTGAGGACATAAGTGGGTGCAAAGCCTGGGTGTCCTGATCTTGGTCCTCAGCCAGGATGTTTCTGTCCACCAACCTGTCTGGGTGGAACAACTGCAAGGAGTTTGAGCTTCTTCTGGGAACAGGTCTCAACATGGGGCAGTAGAGGAACAGCCCATAGGGAGAGTCCAGTTCTGTGCAGATGTTGACAGCAAAGTCAAGTAAGAGGCAGAACAAATGTTTATTGGCTTTTGGTGGTAAAGGGTAGGGGCTGAAAGCTGAACCATGGGAAAGTGGGATGGGCATGGGGAAGTAAAAGTAGAGAACCATATTAGGAGGACATGCAGAGTAGGAGACAGTTATGATGTTAGGAAGAAGTGGTTGCATGAAGAGAAGAATCCATTACTCTCGTAAGTTGCACTAACAGGGTAAGGAGGGAGCATTGAGCCAGAGCTGCCACGGGGAACATACACATAATTTCAGGCCCAGTTGAGCTGGGCAAGAGCTATCTCCATGGCTGCAGAGAAGGTGGGCAATGCCATCTCAGGAACATTCTCTTCCTGTGCTGCCTTCTTCTAAACTACTTTTATAGAGAAGTATATACCCAATCCCAGTAAACTCCTCTAGTCTTGTTTTATCAGACTTCGGCAAACCTACATTTTACCTGCACAACAGTACCCAATGGCTGGGAATAGGTCTTCTAAGAGAGACAGGCAGAAACAGGAGTGGCGGTGGGGGTACTCACCAGCTCTTTGAAGAAAGCAGCTTCCTTGTGCTGCTCAGAGTAGCGCTCATACTGGTCCAGGCCGTCCTGCAGCTTCAGTGTGAGTGTATCATAGTTGGCTCGTACTACCTCTAGCACCTGGGGGAAGTCACGGGTCAGGAAGGGTCTCAGTCTCGAGCCAAGGTACAAACCAAGCAGGCAGGGTGGCAGGGAGCAATTACTCTAGTTTCTGGACCACTTTCTAATCTCTTTCATTTCCTACCTTTCTTGAGCAACCCAGCTTGGCCACCATGGCTGTTTAACTGAGGCTGTGGTAAAAAGCATGGGAAGAGGTCATGGAAAAGCGAGTGTTTGAGGTCACCAGTATCCATGATAACATGAAGGGTATTCTCAGCCCTAATCCTGAAACTTCCTCTGGCCAAGTTGCCATCATTGCTGAGTAAGACTTTGCCAAAGTCTCATTGCTTCCCCCTTTCTGGGAATCATATTTCTTCGGTCCTGGGATGTTCCTCAACACCATCTGCCACTTGTTTTCATCTCTCAATGCCAACTCAGCCTTCCTATCCATTGCCTGGATAGAACTTTTGGGCATCTAAGTCTCAGGGTGCAGGGAACACTTTCAAAACTAAGCTGGAGCTTCTGAAAATGAGTAATCTCCTTAACAATGGCTCTCTGACTTCCTTCCTTCCTTTCTTCCTTCCTTCCTTCCTTCCTTCCTTCCTTCCTTCCTTCCTTCCTTCCTTCCTCCCTCCCTTCCTCCCTTCCTTCCTTCCTTCCTTCCCTTTCCTTCCTTCATCCCCCACATTTCTTTCTGAGACAGGATCTTGCTATATAGCATAGGCTGGTTTTAAATGTAGAATGTAGTCCAGATGCTTGTGACCCCCTACTCCTCTTTTTGTGATGCCAGTCCTGAGGCTTGAACTCAGTATTTTGTACAGTCGCTGAGTGTTTTTGCTCTACTACTTGAGCCATAACTCCACTTTCAGCTTTTTTCTTAGTTCATTGGGGATAAGACTCTCGTGAGCTCTCCTGCCCAGGCTGGCTTTGAACTCCTGAGTAGCTACGATTATACAGGCCTGAAACACTGGCACCTGGCTTGTGATCCTCTTGTCTCAGTCTCCCAAGCGCTGAGATTACAGGTATGTAATCTCACACCTGGCCTCTCTCTGACTTCCACAGACTATGGGAATTTAGGTATCTCTGGTTAAGATGGAAGAGATGACCATATCCTGGGCTAATGTGACATTAGTTTATAAAACCATATATCAAAGGCAAGACTGCTGGAGGAAAGATTCTCTATTACATTAGCAGAAATGAGTTGGGAAGAAAGGAATGACAAGGAGACGGGATGACTGTTCACTCTGGTAATCTCAGTGAAGTTATCTGAGCTTCAGGAAGGCTATGACATCATGAAGAGTTCCTTGCTCAAGAGGGAGCTTGGTTGGGTGTTGGGTGGAGGGGAGACTTGCCTCCTAGGTAGGAGGCAAGAGAATAATCTAGAGTTAGGACATGGCAGAGAGCTTGAAAATAGATAGGTGCAAAGGGCCTCTGGACTGTTCCCTTTACCAGTCCAAATTTGTGCCACAGCAGACTCCTCTTGGAAGCAAACAATCTTGCCTGCCAAGAATTCCTGAGGCAAGAGAAATGCTGAGGGGTGAACACAGAGAAGGCTTGTGTCCTTATGTGAGAGGCTCTTAAATGTAGGTTTGGAATAAAGGGACAGGTAAGGCTGAGGTATTGCCCAGCATTCTCTCCAACCAGCTACATAGTTCATTTTGCCTGCTGTGTCCCACAAACCCCAGTACAGGCTAGTTTTTCTGCTTTTAATTCCATCTGTCAGCTTAATGGGACTTGGTACCCCGCACTGGCAGTCACCCAAAAGTAATCCAGTCCTCTCATGCAAGTGGGCTACATTTGTGACTGAAATATCTATAGCCAAGGTCTTAGCTTGGAAGCGAATTTTTTTTTTTTTTTTTTTTTTTTTTTGTCGGTCGTGGGGCTTGAACTCTGGGCCTGGGCACTGTCCCTCAGCTCTTCAGCTCAAGGCGAGCGCTCTATCACTTGAGCTACAGCGCCACTTCTGGTTTTTCTGGTGGTTTATTGGAGATAGGAGTCTCACGGTCTTTCTTGCCCAGGCTGGCTTTGAACCGCGATCCTCAGGTCTCAGCCTCCTGAGTAGCTAGGATTACAGGTGTGAGCCACCAGCGCCCGGCGGAAGCGAATGGTTTAAGTCCCCTCAAAAAGACAAAATTCCTTCAAGAGGGTACCAGTCCCCAGGAACTAGGTAAAATAAAATGTTTTCCTAAGCTGTAAAATCTAAGCAGCTTCAGCAATGTCTACAACCCAACAATTTAGTGTTGGCCTTCCCTTTGGGAAAGATAAATACCATGCTAAAGCCAACTGCTAAAAAATAAGGTACAGTAAATAGAGGGCCACTTCTAACTTCTCCAAAAAGACTGAGGCCTCACAGAATGTCATCTGAGCATTTTCCTCTAACTGGCAAAGAGTGGACGGTCTAAAGTCTTGCTCAGAACAGAGGAAAGTTGCCTGTCAGTTCATCTAGCCTCTGCTGTCTTCTATAGAGAGAGTAGCTTCAGTATCCTGAAGTTCAGTATTCAGGGTTGATGTTAGAACTCCCATGGCTCCAGACCTTGTCATTTCTCATCAGTAGCGATTGAAGACCTGTCTACTCAGTCCTGCTCAATCACTAACAAAACTTTACAGAGCAAAAATCCCCAACCAATCAACTAAACAAACTTTACAGAGCACTCCATACTCATTTTCAGCAAAATTAGATTTGGCTGCTATTTTTGATTTCCTAGTGCTTATGTAGAAGCTCAGAATTTATGTGCCTTTAATTTTCAGTTGGGCTTTTTAGGCTTCATCTATCTTGTGGTCTTCAGGCTAAGGGTAGAAAGACTTAATAAATGCTCATATCTCAAGATCAATCTTTCATCTCCTAAACAGACAACAATCATTTTGTTCGCCTTCCTTCCTTCCTTTCTTATCTCTCTCTCTCTTTCTTTCCTTCTCTCTTTCTTTCTTTTGTCGTCTCTTTCTTTCTTTTGTCGGTTATGGGGCTTGAACTCTGGGCCTGGGTACTGTCCCTGAGCTCTTCAGCTCAAGGCGAGCACTCTACCACTTTGAGCCACAGCACAACTTCCAGTTTTCTGGTGGTTTATTGGAGATAAGAGTCTCACAGACTGTCCTGCCTGGGCTGGCTTTGAACCGTGATCCTCAGATCTCAGTCTCCTTAGTAGCTAGGATTATAGGTATAAGCCATTGATGCCCAGCTATTCTGTTCTATTTCTTACCATTCTGCTTTAATCCTGTCAAACCCCTTATCATAGAAAATGAAGCTCTGGTGTTATCAAACAAATATACAAGTTCAAAGGGAATTAAGAAGTTAAAGCTTTTTAGGGGGCTGGGAATGTGGCTCAGTGATAGAGTGCTTGCCTGGCAAGCATGAAGCCCTAAGTTCAATTCCTCTGTACCATATAAACAGAAAAGGCTGGAAGTGGTCCTGTGACTCTCAAGTAGAAAAGTGCTAGCGCTGGGCAAAAGAAGCTTAGGGACAGTGCCCAGGCCCTGAGTTCAAGCCCCAGGACTGGCAAAAAAAAGGGAAAAAAAAACCTTTTCAGGGCTGGGCACAAGTGTAATCCTCATTGCCCAAGAGGCTAAGATTGGAGGATCTCAGTTCAAAGTGGTAGAGTGCTAGCTTTGGATACAAAAGCTCAGGTCTAGGTCTCCAGTACTGGCACACCACATCACACCACACACACACACACACACACACACACACACACACACACACGCACACACACACACACACACACACACGCGCGCACACACACACACACACACACACACACACACACACACACACACACACAAGCTGGGCGCTGGTGGCTCACGCTTGTAATCCTAGCTACTTAGGAGGCTAAGAGCTGAGGATCACAGTTCAAAGCCAGCCTAGGCAGGAAAGTCCGTGAGACTCTTATTTCCAATAAACTAGTCAGAAAAATCTGGAAGTGGTACTGTGCTTCAAGTGGTAGAGTGTTAGCCCTGAGCACAAAGAGGCTCAGGAACAGTGCCCATGCCTGAGTTCAAGCCCCAGGACCACCCTCCCCCACAAAATAAGGCTGTTCAGAGGGTTTCTATGTAAATCTCTTTCCCCACTGGACTCTGATTTTTTAAGACACTGTCTCACTAAAGCCCAGGTTGGCCTAGACCTCCAGATCTTTCTGCCTCCTTAATACTGGGTTTACTTTGTCCTGCTTCAGATATTCACTTAACTAGTTAAAAGAAATTTTTAGGGGGCTCAGTTTCTTCTACAAAATGGAAATGATGTCTTGGGCAATCAAACTGTTCAATACTCTGTGAAGGCTACTGTGTACTCCGCAGTTTCTTTAGGGGTAAGACGAGGAGGTCAGAGCAGTGAACAATTTCAAGGGGTGGCATGAAGAATAAACCTAAATATTCAGGTCTTAGTTATATGAATACTTTGTCCCTGATCCATTGTGAAGGAATAATCTTCCTAAACTGTCCACAGACCAAACTTTCACTATTTCCCCATCATCAGCTCATAGAATGCACAGTATCTGCTCAGACTCCTCTGACAGAAAAGACAAATGAGGGGATAGTGATGTTACTGTTTGAAGTTTCATAGCTTAAAGGTAGGGAGGCAGAAGGAGGAAAGAAGAAAATGAAGGAAGGAAAGAAGGAATGAAGGAAAGAGGAAGGGAGGAAGGGAAGGAAAGATAGAGATAGAGAAAGAGAGATAGAAAAGGAAAGAAGAGAACAAGGAGAAAGGGTAAGAGTCTGGCTCTAAAGTCTGCCTTCAGCTTGGTGCTGGTGGCTCATGCCTGTAATCCTAGCTACTAAGGACCATGGTTCAAAGCCAGCCCGGGCAGGAAAATCCATGAGACTTTTATCTCCAATTAACCACCAGAAAAGTGGAAGTGGCGTTGTGGCTCAAGTAGGAGAACACTAGCCTTGAGCTGAGGAGTTGAGTTCAAGCTCCATGACCAACAAAACAAAACAAAACAAAAAAATAATAAAGTCTGCCTTCCTAGATTCACATTCTATCCTCCACTTACTTGTTGGTTAAGCCTCAGTTTTCTCATCTTTAAAATGGG